CGACAGTAACAGGGGAACTCAGGTCACAGAAATTCGGGGGAACGAACTGACGGTCTTACTTGTTTCATTTGAAATGAACAAGGTCACATCACTCGAGAAGGCAGGCGCATGAATAGAGGTACGTAACTGGGAAAGCAAGACTTCGAGCAGAGCCACTAGGGGCGCAACTACAGTGGTCAGAGCAACGCCGTAGCCCTCACATAGAGTGTAGTGAAGGGACCGAAAGGGGTGTCAGCTGCTCCGTTAGATCCGCCTGGAGTTAACTCTGTGCTTATCCAAGTTCGTATTAGTGCTCAGCAGTTGCTGGTGCTACTTGCCACAGGCTGGTGCGTGGAATGATAGCTCAACTCAGAAGTGGTTCATATTACCATGATACGGCACTTCTATTTTGGTGCATCTAACAGGACAAAATCCTAAGCATGCCCTGGGTAAGCCCGTGAAGTGTGGACGTGCAACATCCAGACGACGCTGTGGAGGTCTAAGGGCTGGGAACCACGGAGGAAGTGCAACTCTGAGCTCTCTCAACAGGATTTTCATCCTCGGCGGCAAGCGGACTAGAAGCATCGATCCAAGGAAAAAGGAACGAGAAGGCCCTTGCGGAGTGGGGAGGTGCTGCTGGCAACGACGGAGAAGTGGATGCACTCCTTCGCAGTGGTTTTCCGAAGACCAGATCTTTGGGGGTTCGGCTCAATTAACACCTAGGGAGCAAAAGAAGTTGTCACAATTGAAGAAAGAGTTCCCCGGTGAACAAAACCCCAGAGAGCTACCAGTGGGCCGGCCACCCGATGCACGCTCAATGCATCGCATCTAACATGTTTCGGCAGTAGCTCCAATCAGTTCAAATGCGTCGAGTTTACGTCCATCAAAAGTGTCAGGATCAAGCAAAAGTTTCAGATGCTCGGATTGACAAACTCTTGTCTGCCTGCAGGGTTCAGTATCCTGTTCACGATTTGACTTCTCTGTAGTGTTTCTGCAGTGCCCAATACATCCTAACGGCATGTACACGATTGCTGTCCATGCCAGCACTCGCAAGCTAGCGTATGCATGCACGCCCTTTAGGGTAGTGAATGCGCATGCCGAAGTGCACCGACAGGTCAATCCGTCGATCACGATTTCTTTGGGCCAAGTAATGAGGAATAGATTGTTTCGTACATTGACGACGCGCTTGCTTCGGCTGGAATGTGTAGGAGAATGTGCAACGCCTACTGCGTGCTTTGCAACTGCAACGGGAGGACCGGTGGCTTTTGAAATCACAAAAGTGCACTTTTTCCATGAAAACAATTAGCTCTTTAGGGCTATGTGGGTATGCAACAGGTGTCGAACCGGATCTGGCAATGATAGAGGCCATTTGGAGTGGTAGCGGCTCCTGTAGGCGTGTACCGACGTCCAGAGATTCCTCGGTTGCGCCTCGTACTACTACAACTTCATCCTTGGGCGGATTCGCATCGCCTTCCCTCCACGGGGTTTACGCACGAAGAACAAACAGCTTATTTGGATAAATAGTGATGGCGAAGCCGCCAGCAGTGTCCATGTGGTGGTCGGCATTATGCAGTGTCATACATTCGCGCCAAAAGTAACTAACGAACTTGGAGCCGCTGGCAGTAAAGTTTTCTGGCAGGGATTCGAAGTTTAATTGCGGCTGCCCACTAATTGTGCCACTTCCTCCGTTGTAACTAAACTCGACCTGGGGATGAAATAAGCATATTTGATGGGCCTATCAAGAACAACGTAAATGTTATGGTCGGCATTATGCAGTGTCATACATTCGCGCCAAAAGTAACTAACGAACTTGGAGCCGCTGGCAGTAAAGTTTTCTGGCAGGGATTCGAAGTTTAATTGCGGCTGCCCACTAATTGTGCCACTTCCTCCGTTGTAACTAAACTCGACCTGGGGATGAAATAAGCATATTTGATGGGCCTATCAAGAACAACGTAAATGTTATACGTGCCTCTAACTGTTGTTGGCATTCACAGACCGACTATTCGTTGGCTCTATATCTCCAAAGCGGTTCTCTTTGTTCTCAGGTAGTCTGAACACACCCTGGTTTTGGCTGAGTGCCATGGAATGCCTCCAACTTTCCTCGTCAGCATTGTAGCTTTCAGCATATTCTCCCAGCAAATCATGAGAGGCTTTAGTCATAATTATACGAGTTCTTGGGGGTACCTTCCTGCATAGAGATGTGGATGAATCTGGACTGTTCTCTGAAGTAGCCTCAACGCTTTCGCTATCATCAGGCCTTGAAAAGCTGAAGGAACTCATCAGCATGCTGCTTCATGATCAACATTGTACAGTCTATGGGACCGTGGTGAAACCGTACGATAAAGTATGGAAAAAACATGCCAGAAAAGCCGTGTCACCGCACACGAGAGTGAAAACCAGAGCCTCGTGTGCTGGTCACGTCAAATTGTAAACATTCACGCCAAAATTGAGGTCCAGCTACCTTCCATCATAACCCTTGGCGTGGGAGCATGCATCCTTCGCCACACCATAGAGTGAGCGGGGCGTTCCTTTACCCGAGCACTTCTGCAGGGGTGCTACACTTCACGCTAGACAACATTCTCCACGCAGGCAGCATTGCCTGTTCCCGAGGGCCTGAAGGGAATGACCCATTTGTTTTGGGGGTTATTTACTTCCCAAGTTAACAGTCAAATATGTGGCAAGTATAGGTACACGTTCGAATGGGTTGAGCAAAATATGACGCCACAGAACCCCTCGTGGACCTCTGCCTGCCAAAAATTTGCGAGGGGCCCACTGGCTTAGCGAGGACACGGCACGATCGACGCGCCACCACATAAACCTGCTCTGGAAATGCGGCCATTATGCTCATCTATCCATCTCTTTTCCGGAATTCCACACGGCACAAGTTGTCCGCAGAGAGCCTTGTCGTGTAAGGAGAGGTCCCCATACCAAATTCTGCAATGGCATTGCCCATCAGGTCCGGTAACAAACGGCGACACGTCAGTGGGCATTACATACAATCCACAATGAGGAGATTCCACAATGAGGGCCTCCTGGACGCAATGGATGCACCCATGCGAAGATGAACGCCTACCAAAAGCTTCTACGCACTTCAGCCTGTAAGAACAAGGTGTAGGAGGGGCGTATCCAAAGTAATGCCTCGGCAGTGTTCTCAGAGGGGCTACACAGTTCCAGAGGCTGCGGTGAACTGCCGTCACACATCAAGGGCTGGCCCACACGCAGAAACAGACTAGTGCGTCGTTGGCCCAAAACTGAAGTGTCCAGGGTAGTCGTTAAAATGGTGCACTACAGATACATTAGCAGAAGATACACTATACAAGCTTGCTTGAGACCACGCCCAGATCAACTACCCCACCGCATGTGCACAACCGCGCCAATATGTCCTTCCTCAGCATGCACTGCACGGCCGGTTGTCAGCCAGTACAAACCGTACTATATATACCACATGGCTCCGCTCCATTTGCATGTACGTGGACGTACCACTCACCTTTTAGTCTCAAGTTTTCAGTACAGTTAAACGGCAACTCCTCTACCCTCAACATCTACTTCGGCCCCCCATTCAAATTCCGATAACATCCGATACTGTCAAACTCCAAATATCTCATCGGACGAACTAAAACTGCACATGCCAATGCGCTTCATCTCAAAGTGCCCGCGAATCAACCATAATTCGGCCGTGATACTTGCAGATTCCCTCCAAACAAGTTCCCTCATGTTTCCCCGGTGTCGAGGTACACTGCGGTCGGTGAAGAACATACTGCGCCATCCAGTAGGCAGCTTCCCTATAAAAGAAAAACCAATGCGTGTACTACAGAAGCATCCACATATGCTGTACACAGACAACGGAGAGCCTGAAGTACTTTACCGTGAGCAGTACTGCTGCAACCGATCACTGACGCGCGACAACAGACGAAACCACAGATTCAACCCCAAGGTGCATCACAAGATACACGGAACGGGTATGACCAACCGTTTTGTGTACCATTCGAAGCAAAGCGGCACTACGGAGTGCAATTACACGGGGGCCTCCATCGGTAAATAAGGAGAAAAAACGGACCTGGCTCGAAGAGACCTGCAGCCAGTTGGCCTTCTATGAAGCACCAACTGTTGCAATTGTTATTCCAACCGACCACTACGCTCTAATACCTGGCTTTAAAGCTATTGTCACTAATGCGGTCTTACGTGATAAACTACAACCCCGTTTGACTTGCTGTCTAAACCTCCATTGCAAGGCGGCGTGTCATAAATCAAACGTCTCCGGTCAAAATGTTGAGGCTGGAGTTCCACACTCGCCGTTTCTCGACCGCCTCAACTTGGGAGCAACCAGTACCATTTCTGTCTGATAACATAGGTAGGCCCGTGCGAAAAGGCGTGACGCGTCTGCGTCGATCGCCTAACTCCTAGGGTCTGGCGTGAGCCTCAGGTAAGCCTTGCCAGAAGGCAGATTTTGCACCTGATGGCCCTTCGGGAGTTTGCACTTCGCCTCGTCCTCTGACAGGCTCGGCACGACGCAGCAGGTGCCTCCAACAGTCCACTCCACAGGAGTTGCGACGGGATACTGCTCGGTCAGCTGCACATACACCACAAAGCACTGCACTCAAACAGGGATAGGCCCCCAGCAGCGTTAGTAGCTGAAATCATGAGAAGAGGCACTCGTCGCTGTGAATACCTGGAGAGAGTCAAGAACTCTGAGGATTTCCTTGAAGCTCCTGCCTGTAGTTGCTGGGTAAAGGATGGACGCTGCAAGCTTCTTCTGCGGGTTAATGAAAAACACGGAGCGGCAAGTCAGCGGTAGGCCTGCCTTATCTTTTTCTGCCGGATCCATAATCCCCAAAGACGCTGCCAACTTGCGATCTGGATCACACACGAGGGGGTATGGCAACTCTCCACAAGCCCCCCCGTACGACATGATGTCCTTAGCCCACTCCTGCGCAGCAATGTGCAGTGAAAACGTCATACGGGTATTTCAGGCACCTTCCGCACAAGCCAACGGGACAGAAGAGGCCAATGAAACACTCATACGCCACTACGGGTCCAGAATGAGACAAAATCCATTCCTTTGCACTAGTTTCTGCGCAGCAGAACGAAAGCATCGCGACCCGACCTGGGGTGTAAGTGCTTTTATACTGACCAATTTCACTCACCTTATGGCTATTCATATCATTACACGAGAATCCGACGAGCTTGCAATTCTTTTCCACAAACCGGCTGTGGAGCTTGACAGCTTCTGCGAGCTCGGTTGTGCAGACGGGCGTGAAGTCATTGGGGTGGCTGCAGACATACCCGCACGTCTACTCCCTATCTCTACGCATCGACAAATGTCTTACTGTAATGAAGAATATATTCGGCTTGCCTAAGTACCCTCTCAGCTGGGACAAGAGGTAATGTGCAGCGCACCCCCACACCGCAATGCCACGCGCGAGGGAGTCTGACTTCAATAGTGTTACCTGAACATAATGCCCCATTTGTCGCCCAAATAGTCGTAGAGATTGAACTTCTCGACCCCCAACGCCTGAGCGTCGAAGTTTGGGAAAACATCACCCAAATTGAGCGGCATTTTCAATGCTCGGGCAACCTGTCTAGGGAAGGAATGCTGCGTTGGGGATCCGCAGACAAACAAGAAACAAGCAAAAACAAAATTACTCTGACAACTAACTTAGCATGATTGTAAGATTAAGTCGCAGTGCGAAAAGCGTGGCCATACCCACACTGATGGGGATGGCGAGCACTGTGGCAGGTGGGTCTTGCGGGGATTCTTACCAGGGCTGTTTCCTCTTTACACATTCAGTTTTCCTGCTATTTCCACTTGATTACCAATTCGGCTGAAGATGCCAATTTTTATGGTATATTGGGTGTGTTTTCTACATAAAAATAGCGTTCCCATGCTGCGAAGTGCTCCTCGCACGCGAGCTCATGCTACCGAATGGAGCCTTACCTGAGTACTCATCGCTGCATGCTGTTTCCAGCCTCAGATATAAGCTTTAATCGCACATGAAATTTCGACACATACGAGAAAAATGTTGTAGAGAGACCGTTCCACGACGGCACAGATGCAAAAGAATTACGGAGTACGAGTGATATTAGCGGAGAACTGAGCCTTGAGGCAAACTTAGGGAGAGGCTAAGCAAGAAGTAGAGGACTACAGGCAGTGACGGATGTGGTGCTGCACAACCCGAAACTCACAGGCCTTTAACCACAGAGCACCTGAGACGAGCTTAGCGAGAGTGAGCGATCGTAACCGAGGGCAGCAATAGAGCAGTCGAGCCGAAGTCTTTTGGGCTATGCATTACTGAAGGCAGCTGGCCTCCCCTCCAATCCCCAGAGTTTCTGGGCACAGCGGCCAGACTGCCCGGAGCTGGGCAACAGGAGGTGGCCTGACGTGTGCTGCAAAGCAGCTCGTTGCAGCTGGAGTAGCACGGCATCTTCACATGCAAGCACACCCAAACCACCCTTTGCTGCTTGCACTAATACTGCAGATGGCTGTACTTCTGTTTGCGTCTAGGCTGCCTACACGGGCCCAGTAAGGGCTGATGCGCCAGCATCGCGCAGAACCGGATACGCCTGCACCCCCTCCCCCGCCAACCAAACGCGCATTCGTGTACTCTGTAGCAGCTGAAGGTTCAAGCATTGCTTATTGGCTTGTTGCCTTCCACCTATCCAAACGCTCTTACAGGTGCAGATGTAGGTCGTCACGCTGAAGTCTCTCAGCGCGTGCGCCTTCATAATACATTCTTGTTCGCATTCCAGCCGAATTACCTGCTGATAGGCACGCATTGGGAAACTGCAATTCTCTTTGATAGAACGACCTTGTCTACTTCGTCTTTTAGCATCCCGTTGAGTAGCTTCTGGACTGATTCAAACTTGGGAGCGGTTCAAACTCTCCACTAAAGCCCCTCCACCGTCTCCCCGACCGACAGTTGCGGAATGGGTTCCTTCTTATAGCTTCAAGATTTTGACTTTTCTGCTAGCTTGCTGAGAAATGTTGTAAGAGAGGTTCTATAGGCAGTTGGATTTTACTGCGCGTTTGTTTTTTCGGTTTTACTTCTAGTTTTCTTTTGTTTTGTTATCTTTTTTTTTTCTTTCCAGGTTCAACGAAGCCGAAGCGAGCGTGTTTCAGACAGAAGGTCCGTGAAACCGAATTGCCCCTCAACACCGCTAAGCGTTTCCCAACTATCAGTGGAATCTCTTCGCACGTGCCATCCTCATAAATCCGCTCGGGATTTGGTTCTTCTGGTCATTCATCGAAATATTTCAATTACCTGTGGCCTCGGCGGTTTGTTACCCGTGTGTCCAGGACCCCAGTCACCTCCGCTTGTTTCTCCTTGCAGTAGCCCCTGCCAATTTGTAAGAAGAGTTCGAAAATATTTTGGTGGTTTTCTGCACCACTTTGGAAACCCAACATCAATGGTATGATAACATCTCCACGATGAAGGAGAGCAGACGATGCATTTTAATGCATTAGTAGCGCGAGAGCCAACACCAGCACCCAACGCACGGCAAAATTCGTCGGTTACTTGCCCTTCTGAACTCTTCGTAGAGCGTACGAAACCACTAAAATCAACTTGGCTGAGTTGAAAGTGACCTCTGGACTTTGTTTGTTCCTGGCGTTTTTGTGATTTTTTGATGCGTTCCTGGGTAGCTGCAAGCTATACATAGATCTCGGAAGCTGCGGGTCTACGGGGTTGGGTTCCCACAGCCAGATCTGACGCCGGGTAAAACAGAGGGTTTTTGGTGTACACCAGGAACGCTGACAAACAACGAGTCGAAAAGCGCGGTGTTGTATTCTACGCCTGCTCTGCCCAAAGGGGCGAGCCAAGCAAATTGGATGAATTTTGCTAGGTATAAACTCGTAAATACTCCACCAGCATGCTGTTGCTGCCTACGGTTAACTGTGTGTCTCCCGGTTGTTCGGCGCGGAAGATGTATATTGGGCCGTTCCATAAACCCGCACGAACTTTGGGTTGCTGTCGGAAAGCATGATCCGCGGAGAACCGTGCAGCTCCCAGGCATGATTAATGAATAGTTAGACCAATTTCTTCGCTACAAGTAATCTCGAGAAGGGAATGACATTGGCACGCTTGCTGAGCTGCTCCACGACGACGTCGATGCTCCAACAGCCTCTGGCTGATGACATTCTCCAAGAAATCCATTGAGGTATCCGTACAGGCCCATTCGGGCGCTGCAGGTAAGTGTCCAAGTGTCCGGATTTGCGAGTATTCAGCGGCATTGGCTGCCGGCATTCAAAAAATCTCAGGAGGCATTCCTACCCTGAGGGGGGTATCTTTGGCCGCCCAACGAACCTAAGAACTCTCCGCTGTTGTGCTGACTCTGAAATGGCCCGCTGGAGCATAATCGTGTATCTTGCGCGGCACTTCTGTGCATACTAAAACTGGGATGTGCAATTGGAGGAGTCTACGCTTCGTCTGGTGCCACAAAAGATCGCCGTCTCTGTTTTAGTGCTTAACCTGTTGGCCGCGGGTGCGACTCTTGCTTGGCAAGAGATTCCGCCACGCGGAGATGTAAGGAAGAGGAAGAACGCAATCTAGGAAAGGAACAGGAATCATCGCAGGCAAGTACAGTGGCCGAACACAGTCAGTGCCCACCTGGTAGGACATCGGGAGAGTGCACCACCGCTTGATGCACTTGGCTGTAAAGCCATGCGCAAACCGGCAAAGCCGCCGAACGATTCTTTCATTATCAAGGTCTTGAAAACTCTTCGTCAGGTAGGTTAGGGGTCGGCGATAAAGTTGAACGGTGAAGTGCACGCCATATAATATAATCTCGGCACTTTTTGCTCTTCCCCACACCACGTGGATCTCCCCGCCCATCGGATAGCACTGGTCTCATTCGGTGAAGTGGTGTGAGTAGCAGGAAATTATTTGTTATTTCATCCGCAACAGAAACCAGGGATGAAGTTGCCATTGTACGATGCGCGACCGCGACCGAGGAATCTCTGGACGTCGGTAGAGTTCGCGGGTACTACAGTGTTACTCTAACTGGATCTCTAGAGGCCGACCCGGATGAGTGCATGTAATATTTTATGATAAATCAACTCACGGGGGAAAATGGCCATCAAGCTAAGAACTCTGGCAGCAACCGAAGGTCTGGGGCGGGGCGAGTCAGCTGCGAGCGCTGGTCACTACAGTCGGTGCGAGCGTACAAGGGTAGATGCCACCTCTGACTGGCTTTTCTCTTTGCTACATCAGGTTCAACACCAGCTATAGAGACCCAGAACCTTACGAAGTCAATTGTCTCCAAGGAAAAAGTGCACTTTTGTGCTTTCAAGAAGCCACCGGTCCTCCCGCTGCAGTTGCAAAGCACGCAGTAGGTGTTGCACATTCTCCTCCATATTCCAGCCGAAGGAAGCGAGTAATCAATGCAAGAAACTATCTACTCCTTATTACTTGGCCCAAAGAAACCGTGATCGGCGGATTGACCTGTCGGTGCACTTCGGCATGCGCATTCACTACCCTAAAGGGCGTGCATGCATACGCTAGCTTGCGAGTGCTGGCATGGACAGCAATCGTGTGCATGCCGTTAGGATGTATTGGGCGCTGCAGAAACACTACAGAGAAGTCAAATCGTGAACAGGATACTGAACCCTGCAGGCAGACAAGAGTTTGTCAATCCGAGCATCTGAAACTTTTGCTTGATCCTGACACTTTTGATGGACGTAAACTCGACGCGTTTGAACCGATTGGAGCTACTTCCGAAACATGTTAGATGCGATGCATTGAGCGTGCATCGGGTGGCCGGCCCACTGGTAGCTCTCTGGGGTTTTGTTCACCGGGGAACTCTTTCTTCAATTGTGACAACTTCTTTTGCTCCCTAGGTGTTAATTGAGGAATTAATAGATTTTTAGGAAAACGACCAAAAGTCCCAAAGATCTGGTCTTCGGAAAACCACTGCGAAGGAGTGCATCCACTTCTCCGTCGTTGCCAGCAGCACCTCCCCACTCCGCAAGGGCCTTCTCGTTCCTTTTTCCTTGGATCGATGCTTCTAGTCCGCTTGCCGCCGAGGATGAAAATCCTGTTGAGAGAGCTCAGAGTTGCACTTCCTCCGTGGTTCCCAGCCCTTAGACCTCCACAGCGTCGTCTGGATGTTGCACGTCCACACTTCACGGGCTTACCCAGGGCATGCTTAGGATTTTGTCCTGTTAGATGCACCAAAATAGAAGTGCCGTA